TAATAGTGAAATTAATAATAGTTTTTTATTTTTTAATATTAATTAAAATTAAAAATATAATAATTATACTCCTAACTAATAAGACAAGTTATAATTGCTAAAGGAGGTGAGTAATTTCCCACGTTCACATGGCTAAAAAAATTCTCACACAAGCTCAAGTTGGAATTAATGAAAATTTTCACAGTCGACTCATTAGGATTGGTTCAAATGGTTAACAAGATATTAGAAATTTTGAATCATGCATAGTAAGAAAAGCATGTTTGAAAATTTTTAATGTTATATAAGTACAAATAATTTTAATATCTCACCCATATTTGTATCTTATAATGTGGAGTATTATCCAGCACTTATAGTATATTTAGGTTGAGGGAAATAAAGTAGAGGAGAGGAGAGGAAAAGATTTTTTAACTGATTAATTTATAAAGTTGACCAATTAATTTATAATGTCGACCAATCAAATTATAACATTTTAAAAAACGTTATAATTTAATTGATGAAAAATTATTTTCCTCCCCTCCTTGCCCCTCCCCTCCCTTCCTTTCTTATATTTCTCTCAACTCAAACATATAGCTAAAGACAAAATATCAAGCATGTCTTTTGATTACTTCTTAATGACATGAGCATGAGCAAGTCCATATATAAACTGCTCCATTTTCAAGGAAACGTTAATAATACTTTTTTCATTCAACTTTAAAAGATTCAGTTTTTTTATTTAAATCCGTTTATATTTAATTGTTTAATTTTTTAATTTTTTAAGGATATTATTTAATCTATTTATTTTTATTTTACTCTCGTTTTAAAAGATAATTACAATATATATTAAATAAAAAGTCTTATTTAAATGGTACTTAATTAGAGATAAATATAAAATTTTATCAATAAATTATTACATTTTTATTTTATTGGATAAAAAAACTAAATCTACTAAAAATGAATTAATGGAGTACTTAGTAAATGTTAATTACTCCTATATTTTACATAACATTAATTACCTTATTTACCACAAAAAAGAAAAATGTCTGAACCTCTCATCTAAGCATGTCTTAAATTCTTATCTTTGAAGAAGACGTTTAAACAACCATTGATAATTGTTTTTTTTTTTTTTTTTTAAAAAAAGCTTACTCAAAATTAATAGGATCTTCTTAATTTCTTTGGGTTTTTCCTTCATCTCTATATTCCCCCTTGTTAAAAAAAAAAAAAAGGTCCAAAACTTTAGCCTAATTAGTTTTATAAGCATCTATAAATTGCCTTGTAACAGGCATAATCTCTAAAACTATTTGAACCAAAATGAAAATAAATGAATTCAAATTTGTGTATTTTTGACATAATTTATA